TCCGTAACTTCCGTGTTTTCAGGAAATATTTTTCTTAGTGCTAGCAAATCTTGTTAATATTTTAATAAATAAAATGTAAAAAGAATTTTGCCCACCAGTACATATAAATAATTTCAACACATACAAAAAAATATAATGATATCACTTTAAAAGTGATAAGTCATTAGAATGATATTAATAAATGTTTGGAAGTTCAGACAGAAAATGTACAAAGATTCCTTTTGTTTTAAGGAATTTATTATTTAATTCACTACCCCTGGAAAACAATTTTCACGATCCTTAAATGTTGGATGATGTGCAGAGATGCCAGCTTGCTCCGGACAGCAAATATATATTTTAAAGTGGTAGTTTATCAATTGTGATTCTTGATTTAATAAATTCAATTCAGTAGATTTTTATCCGCCACTATTTCTAAATAATTCGTAGGCTTATGTAATTCACCTCGATATTGCACTTTTGTTATGCTGTACCTTTTAAAAAGCAAACAAAAATAGTCAAATATTTGCAAAATTTACTTTGTGGTTATTTACCGTTTTTTTAAATTATTTTTGCCTGTCCGGAGCAGTTGGCATCTCTGGATGTGGGAAAGTTCCGCAAAGCTGCTAACCAGAAAATCTTACCTTCCCCAAATAATCAAAACGGTAGCCAAAAAATAAATTTACATAAAAATCTTCTCAACCTAAATAATAGGTGTTTTTTTATATTCACGATGATTACAGGATCTCGGAGTCAAGCAGCTGAAAGTGGCACTTACCGATTCGCTGGAGTTGAAAGTCGATTGGTTGATGGCTATCTAAAATGTGAATTAAAATAAAGATGGTTAAAAAAAGGGAGGAGTTCACTCAAGCGTGATCCTAGACAGTGGCGTACGCAGAATTTTTTCAAGGGGGGTGTTCATAATTTTCTGAAACTACTAAAAGAAATTCGAGTCTGTAATAAAGCACTATTATTTCCCTAATTTAGACAGCTAGACAATTTTGACTTTTTATTTAGACAACAATGTTTAGTTAAATTTTGATTTGATTTTTTAAGTTTAAGAACATAATATAATATCTTCTAAAAAAGGTACAATGTAAAAAAAGTCCAATGGTGGGAAGTAACACTTTGAGGGCCACTTTCACATTCATCAAATTTTGTTATGCTAGAAACCTTTTCTTCAACGGAAGTATCACATTTCTGTACAGCAGAAAAACTTACATTGGTACTAGATGCTGTCACCTCACTAATTTCTTGTCGCCGTTTTTTCTCAAAATAATTAAAAATTGTTAAATTCTTGCGTTTTGACATCCTAAAGATCCAAGAACAGCAAATATATATA